TGTTCATAAAAAAAGAAAATTTTTGAAAGCTTTCTATAAGAAAAAAAGTACCTGGCTCACTACTTTTGGATAACCCTAAGTATCTTTATGCTATCAAGTGACTGATAAAGGAAAACTCATGGATTTGATTTTTTCGTCAGAGAATAGTTATTGGGGGGAAAACATGATTTTATGTAAAATTCGATCGAAGGCTTTCGAAGTTGAGAAACTCGAGCCTCTAATAGGTTTCTTGGAACCGTATAATTTATTTTTCAGTCTCGAGAAAGATACTTTAGGAAACTTCATCAAGAAAGAATTGAAAAATAAATCGACCTATCTCTTAAAGAAAAAGACAAGTTCAATCTGCTAGTCTCAACTCGTTCGTTTTCTAGAGGTTTCTGTAGAACTTCAAATTTTCGAAAAACTCGTCTCTTCGAACTTTGATATGAAAATTTGTGCATATATACAACTGAACTAGATAAAGTTTGATAAAAGAATCCAGAAGTTTTGAATCAAATGATATGGGTGGGTGTGGGGTGTGAGATGTGGATGCAATTCATTAGGAGCGCCATAATCATCCACAGCCTCCAGGTAATAAATTTCTCCAACTTCAGCTCGATCTCACATTTCATAAAGTTGTTCACGACGTTAATGTAACTCAAGTGAATATTCAAGTCATTTAATTTCAAAACTGATTATTTTCGAGACAATTTCATAAGATCGTTTCGATTATTTATAGCCAAAACTTGGTTTACAGCTGTGTATATCAATTAGAATACAGTCATGTTGCATAGGACAAACAAATGTTCGTAATTGATGTCATTTATTACTAAATTTATATCCTTTATATGTAACAATCTATTGAAACCCATTGCAACAATTTCTATTCATTATTACGCATCGAAATATAACGAGTAGGAAGCTTTGTATATTCGTAAATTTCACATTAAGAATATATTTGGGTTCATCATAAAAAAATAGCATAATCATTTGAATTATATTATTGTACTACATGAAGAAGTAATACAGAATGCTACTTGAATTCTGCCTGCTTCCATAAATACATAAATTTTTTTTTCGTCTGAAAAAAAGAAAGTCTTACTGCTCGATGCATTGCTCAAATTAATCCAAAACAAAGAAATAAAAATTATTAATTTTAACATGAACACTTAC